AATATTCAAAATACACATCTTATCTACGAGTATAGTCTTGTTCTATTTTCTAAAAGTTATCTATTTCACACCATATTAAATCATCTAATTAATAATACAATATCCCCTTCAATAAATCAAAACCATTATATAATTGTCTGGGTTAATAAATCAAACATATTTATATTTTTTTTCTTTTGGGTCTAATTTTTAAATATTAAACAAATAGAATCCTTATTTTCAACTAATTTCCAAATATTTTAAATTTAGTGACCAAAATTCCCCTTATCTCAACTTCTTCCTTTAACCTTCTAATTAATAATATGAAATCCCCTCTAATAAATCAAAATCCCAATTTTCTTCAGCCTTATTCTGGCTTTCTTCCTTTGCTAACTAGCTTTCCATGTCAGTGCTTTTAAATAATCAAATAGATCTCCCTGTATTATTATATATATAATTTGAAATAGGAGAGACCATTTAGCTGCCATTTTTTGGGGAAGGACTAGCCCATTTGTGTTCATTAGATCGTCTCCCTATTATTGCAATTCCCCATGATTGTCCTGATATGTTTATCTTCCATTCAATCTGTTCTTCTTCTTTCTCCTCAGATTTCTTCTGATTTATATAGAAGGTCTTTTCCATTTTCAGTGCTGTCGCTCTCTTTTCTGGATTTTCCATTAACTGTGTTTGTTGGTCAACTGAGTCCTCTGTCTTAGTATTTGATTGTTCCACTTCTTCTGTTATCTTCTGCATTGTTAGTTCTTTGATTGTAGTCAAAATTTGGGTTTGTATATCTAAACTGGTATCTTGTTCTTTTATGTTGCATCTTATTTTGCCACAAGCTGAAAGAATGGTTTCATGTATTGCTTCCAACATGGAAAGGATCTTTTCCTGGTCTTCATCCATATTCTCTTAATAGTGTGTTAAATTGAGGACTTTAAAATCAAATGTTAAAAATAATTTTATAACTAAATATGGGACCTCTATTTCATTTATTATAGGTGATCTTTATAGTAGAAGTTGTTTGTCAAGTAAGATATTATAATCCAAGGTATTTCATCATCTCATGTAATAACCAATGTTCCTCAGATAAAGAAATAGAAAAGCAATTCCCCACATATAGCTTTGAAAGTCAGTAAAGGTTCAAGCAGGCCAGTTATGCCGCCCAGAAATTCTCTTTACAGCTGAGTTTTTCACAGGTGGTATCTATCAAGATCAAAAGAGTAGATGGATAGATTATATTCAGAAAAAATATGGGACTATAAAGTTTCATTTATTTTATGAGTAAATTTTATAGTAACTGTTGTAGAGATTTGTTTATATGACTTAATTTAAGGGGAGTTAAAAGTTAAGTATGATGTTTTTTCTTTTTTTTCTTTTTTCTTTCTTCTTTCTTCTTTTCTTTTTTTTATTATTGTTAACTTTCTTATTAATAACCCTGTACTCTGCTCTGGAAAGCGAGGGGGGAGGGTTGAGGGTGGGTGAGTGGGTGAGTGGATGGGTAATGATAATATAGTCATGGTAAATGCTTGGGCATTTCCCCTATGCTGTGTTCATGTGTGTGAGAGGGATGAGAGGGGAGGAAGGAGTAGGGAGGAAGTAGGATGGTTAGAGGAGAAGGGGAGGGGAAGAGAGTAGGAGGGGAGGAGAGAAAGAGGAGGGAAGTAGGGAAGGATTAGAGAGGGTGGACGCAGCCTGGGGAGAATGAGCATGCGGTACCAATGGTTAGGAATTTATTTTAATTGGATTGTATTTTGTATGAATAAATAGAAAATAAAAACTTTTTAATAAAAAAAAAAGGTCAAAAGAGTTTTATCTGAAGTCTGGGCTTCAAGCCAAGTCTCTTTTAGGCAATAACAAGTTGTAATACCAAACCTCACCACAAGATGTGACTGATGCCATTTAAAGTTTTTTAAGTCCAAAATTTTTATAATCTTTTTTCCAGTTTTATTTCTTTTTTGTAGATAAAAACAAAAGTCTCCAGTAAAAATAAGAAAACTTTTGGTCCCCAAGTTTCAGAAACTTATAAACCCAATTAGATTAAAATTGTTCTTTTAGTGCTTTAACTCCCCTGGGTAGTCAGTTGCTGCTGTTCTTAGAGGGTGGGGTAGAAATTCCCTTCCCTCTCTCGTCACAGGGGGGAAAATACTTTGGACAGCTTTTACAGGAAAAGAAAATACTTAAGATCTTAAAGGGAAGATCAGATCTCACCCAGTTTCATCTGTGTTGCTTTACAAGTTCTTCATGGTAAGTTTGACTTCGGCTGTCTGCAGCTTAGTGATAAGCCATATTGCCATGGCCGGTCTTTCCTCCGCCGGTTTGGAGGGCTGTCCCGGATCTAGCAGAAGGGATGCCGCCCTCCCATGATCAAGAGGGGGTCTCCTCCTTGCTCATCACTGCTACAGTGTGACGTTCGACCCTTTCTAGGGTCCCCCAGCAGAACAAAATCAAATGTGGAAGACGGAGCTTGCCTTCTAGCGTCAGCAGAGGCTGCAATGGCAAACCGGAAGTCAGGAAAGGAGTCCCTTTTATCAATATCTTAAAATGATAACAGTAAGCATAATCCCTGGCTTGATTTGGGTCAAGACCAAAAATCTAATAAATGGACAACAAATCCAAAGGAAAAGGCAAGAGACACAGAGAGGTGGAATCCAGCATTCTAAGCATGGCACAGGAAACTTAGATTGACAGTGCTGAGGCTTGGAAAACTGTTCTCAGTTTCTTCTCTCAGGGAATGAGGCCAATGTATCAAACAAGCTGAGCCTCCACCCAGTTTGAGCCAGTTTGGTCTAATGATTAATGCACCCGGTGACTATGAGTTCAAGTCCCACCTTAGGCATGACTGCCAGCTAAGTGGTTTTCGGGCAATTACCAAGAGTCTGCTAGCTGGGTGACTTTTGGCCAATTACCAAGTGGCTATGAGTTCTAGTCCTGCCTTAGGCATGACTGCCCGCTGAGTCACTTTTGACCAGTCACTTTCTTCTCTGCCCAACCCACTTAAAGTGGTTTGGGTTGAGAAGACAGAGTTAACTTTAAACACCAAAAGGTTTAAAGTCTTTTAAAATAATGCAAGGGTTGCAATATATATACTTGCAATATATAGTATACCTTAAAACTGCATGGAAGTTGTTAAAGGTTTTGTACGTGATTCAGAGCATCAGAACTCAAATTTCAAAGGCATTTTAATTTATTGGTTTTATATATGTTTATTCTGACTGTGGTAGCCAAATAAAATTATTTTGGTAATGTTTTCAATAGAAATGTCAACAACATCCACAATGTATTTATTTGATTTATATGACTACCCGTCTCACGTATGTGGTTTTGGGCACCTTACAATTAAATGGTTAAAAACAAATAAAATGCAGAATATAAAATGAAGACACATAGCAACTGAGCATCATAAAATAACCATCAACAAAAAAAAAGTCAGGCATATGACACTATACACAGAGAACTTTACTTAAATGTGACAGTGACACCCACAATTTTCTCAACCAGCAATCTTTCTGTCTTGGTCATGTGGTTCACTTAGCAACAAACTACCCGTTGAGTGATTGGGAAGCTGAGCAGGAGGTTAGAGACCTGAGAGCTGTCATGGAGTGGGGATTGAGCTCTCGTCTTTCACTCCAGCTCCTGCCAGAGTCATGAAAGGAGCCACCAACTAGGCGTCCCCAGGGCAACAGTGATGTCACTGGCTAATCCCTTCAATCTGGAAGCGCCCCATTGCTTCTGACATGAGTGCAAAAAAGCAATCATTTCACCAGAACCAGTTGCAGTTGCTAAACAAGGAATACTTGTATTAGTTTTTCTCATACCACTTTTGGAGCCCATATGTACAGGAAACCTGCCTATAGATGTAATTTTTGAAAGCTTTGCAAGGGTAAATGCAGATGTCTTAGCATTTTATACCTTGACATATGAAAAGTTGCTCCTCATTGAGACTAAACCCACAGAATTTGCTGGGGCTTTCTTCCCCAGCCTCTGAAGGTTCTTGTAGGGTTCTTCTGTTCTTGATTGCATTTGCGGACAGAAGATAGTTCTTTGGTTTGCTCCTTGGCCTGGAATGCTTCCCTTGGATTTAGGAAGCTGTCATTTGAATATTTGGTGGGATGGCCATCTTTCTGTAGAAAAGATCTGCATCCCCAAGAGTTCAGGCAGCATTACAGGTAATTCTCAACTTACAACTATTTTAACAACGGTTAGAAGTTACTGTGGTCTTGGAAAAGAGTGATTTATGACCCATCCTTGGAATTATGACTTATCACACAACCTCTACATCAGGGGTCTTCAAACTTGGCCCTTTTATAACTTGTGGACTTTAACTCCCAGAACTCCTCAGCTAGGCACGCTGGTTCAGGAATTCTGGGAGTTGAAGTCTACAAGTCATAAAAGAGCCATGTTTGAAGACCCCTGCTCTACAGTCACATCACAATTTAGGGACTTGGTGACCAGCTCATATTTATGATATTACAGCGTCTTGTGGCCAGCCAGCTTGACAAACAAAGTCAATTGACAAGCCAGATTTGCTTAATGACCATGGTGATTTGTTTAATAACCACAGTAAAAATATTTCTAAAATAGGGTCCAGTCACATGATGACTCAATTGACCACATCACTTAGCAACCGGAATTCCAGTTCCAATTTTGGTCTCAAATCAAGAACTTCTTGTATCCATTGATTACTATGGACGTAGTACTAAGGCCTATGAATCTCTCAAGAGTCTAAAAAAAAACATTATCAATTCCTCCCAATCTATGATTTATAGATTTGTGATTACTTTATGATATAATCTATATTCTATATTATGAAAAATACCTATCAACTATTTTATCTTGGACATCTACAGGAGTACTGAAAATCAAAAAGACTCCACTATGGGCTTTCATACCATTCTCATATTCTTCATACATCTTGCTAGAAAATGTCTTGTGAAAAAAATATATATCTTTTAATTGGGTCACTAATCCTTATCATTTCTTTTTCCCTGGTCCTAAATTTACCATCACCCCCTCCCCAGTTTAATAGGATGGTGGGGTCATGACTACAAAACCAGGTTTCTCATGGAAAACAGTATGTATATTTGCCCTTCTGTTTTAAATTATTTGTTTTAAATTACTGCTTACTTGTTTGTTTTTATGAACGTATATAAACGGCATCAAAAGTAATAAAGTTGCTGCAGAACAAGAGCAACAATTCTTTCAGTACAGGGAAATGTTTCCATTCCAACCTGAAATTAAAGATCAAAGAGTCAAAAGCTTTAAAAAGTCCAAATTTACAGTGTATAGATGATTTATAAAGGCCTGTATAAAGATAGAAAAAGAAAGAGAGAAGGGAAAGAGAGCGCAGGAGATCAAAAGCATGTAGGGGAACATTGCTTGGGAATTTAAAAAGCAAACAAACACCAAAATGTCAAGGAAAAAAAATCAACATTTTTATTATAAAGGTAAAATAAATTAGTGGCCTCTATAGTTCTAGCCTTAACAGGAAGGCAACATTGGTTGTTCTGTGGAAATTCCAAATTTTGATGTTATTTATTTGGCATTATTATGTGCATGTTGCTTAGCAGCCTGTTTTTGTTTCATTTTGATTAGTGTTGTAACATTGACATTTAATTTATACTCTTTTTTATGCATTTAAAATCTACTTGGAGTCTTGAACTTGCTATATCACACAATAAGAATGGATTTCAGGCACTAAGCTAGTAATACTACTAAGGCCTTACTATTTTTTTACAAGTTACTCCTGTTTAATTGTGCTGCCCTCAACATAATTTGGAAAGTATATATTTTTAAAGTTTTTAAAGTCACTTACCATTATCGAAAGTGACAGTTTCTTCAGGGATTAATTTCAAAGTTAAACATGGCCTGTTTATTTCTTTCATCAAAATATGCATGCTTGTGCAACCTTAATAGTCTTTAATCAAATTTATGGGGATCATTTGGTACTATATGGAAAAGATCAAAATGTTTTAAAGCTAAATTTCTACTTTTTGCATTAAAAATATTGAAAATTGTTGACATCCAATTGTTTAGATTAGCTGATGGAGTAGCATCAAACCTGATTTGGAAGGCCTGGCTGAAGCTCTCTACAAGAGAGGACATTCAAATAATATTGAATACAGCCTAATACAGTGATGGCGAACCTTTTACAGACTGAGTACCCAAAAACTGGCCCCACCCCACTCCACCCCCTGCTCTGCTCACACCCCGCCTGCCCGCAGGGCCACTCACCACCTTCGGGGTCCGCACAGATTGCCCAGCAGTGCCATAATGGCCCCGCCCTCTGCCCGCGCCCCGCAGCATCAACTGTGCACAATGGGGTGTAAGGGCAGAGTCTTGTCTACACTGTCTGGCTGCCATGTCCTTGGCTGCACTGCTCCGCATGGGCCACGCTCGGGAGTGACTCTCCTCCAGGGAGGCTGCTGATGAGGAGGGAGTCGCACAGGAGGCAAGGCTGGGGCAACAGCACGTGTGCCCACAGAGAGGGCTCCGAGTGCTGCCTCTAGCACCCGTGCCATAGGTTTGCCACCACTGACCTAATATTTCTCCAACCATATATAACCAGATTCCTCACATAACTTATTATTGTTACAGAATTGCAACTCAGCCCTGGAATCAATGGATTTCGTTTATCAAATCCTTCCATCTTATTGGTCTGTGCTCTTCACGCTAGCTTAGAGGTGAGTAATTATTTTCTCCTAAGGGAAGACATTCAGACAAAGGAAAAAATGTTGTTTCATTAGGCAATATTCCTTTTTGATGACAGTAAACTGAAAAAATCTGTCCAAAGACAAATGCTTTGAATAACCTTTTACAGTGGTACCTGGGTACTCATCGTTAATTGGTTCGAGAAGTACCAAAAATTGTGAGTACCAAACAAATTTTTCCCCTAAGGAATAATATAGTGAGTTACAAGGCAACCAACACTGAAAAGTTCTAGCTTCTGCAATGAGTACCAGGATGATATTTTTACATCAAAATGCACTGAGTACCAAATTTGATGAGTTTCAGAGCAGTTGAGTACCAAGTACATCACCTGTACTTTGCCCACTTCGTTGGTTCCATTGCAGTCCCATGTTCCCCTTTCAGCAGGGACATGAGACGATCCATAGCGAAGTGCTTGAATCAGACAGAAGACAGGGAGGCTTTGAAGCTGGAAACATGCAGTACGTTAATTAATTAAATGAATAAATTATGTAACTAAAATACAAGCATTGTTCTTCTAAATGTATGTTTTTGGTGCAAAAATCAATGAGGTACAGTAGTAGGCACTCTGTAACATCGAGCTGAGCCAACCCATCAGACTAACTAAGAAAAACTTCATAACAATGAAGCCTCCTGCTGATCCACATTTATTTTTCCCTAGCATCAACTGATAAATTAAGAAAGAAATTAAAATTTGCAAGCTTATATGGGAACGTATTTACTTATTTAGTTCTTTTATTTAATCTAAAGCTCCCTGGCTCCTATTGACTCTTAAGAGGCTTTCGCTTTAAAAGCAAGTAATAATAAAACATAAGAAAGAAATCATGGATGTCCAGATGAGAAAAAGCGTACCTACCAACAGACATAGTATGCTCTGAAGCTACTCTACAGAAAAGCCAGATTTTACCACCATTATAAATGTAAAAAATGCTCTTATTGGTAATTCTGTTTCTTAGAACAAAGCTACGTACATCCTGATGTAATATTATTATAGGGACAGTATCCTTTCTTTGGAAAATATGGATAAACTTTTTGAAGAAAGAGCATACTCTTGTTGGTTTGTGTGCTATTTCTCAGCTGCATGTCCACGATTTGTCTCTTGCTTTTTATTCTTAATTTGTTTTTAATGTGAAAGTCTCCTGGAATTAATAGGAGCCAAGGGACTCTAAATTAAAGAAGTAAACAAGTAAATACATTCTAGTATAGGTTTTCACATTTTAATTTATTTCTTAATTTATCAGTTGATGCTAGGGAAAACTAAATGTCTGTCAGCAGAGGGGTTTATTGTTATGAAGTTTTTATCAGTTGCACAGAATGCCGAAGCAACATCACATAGAGGAGCCAGAGTTTTAACCACAAGCAAAATCTCCAAATTTCATAGAAATACTGGGAAGCAATATATCCTGGAATATTATTCACGTTTGAGTTACAAATCAGTGATTTTTTTTCAAAGAAAAGAATAATGTAGAATTTAATATATCAAGCCTCAATCGTGTGACGAGAAGATCTAATATACCTCACATGTCTTCACTTAGTTGCTTTGTAGAAAACAATTAGCAATCTTTAGGGAAACCTAATATAATGGGTGTTGATTCATAATTTGCTACTTATACACTGATTTCTATCGGAAGCTAATGTTGTGTGTATATCTTTGAAAAATGCTATTTCACAGCCATCCATATCCTTCGATATTCACACATATTTTTATTCATCTCAGGCTGCCGAAGTCTCACTTGGGGACATTTTGGAAGTGAAAACCAAGCTATTTTTCCCCTCTAAATTGCATTGCCAGTAAAACAAAACAAAATCAATCACAGAATTACTAATAACGTAGAGAGTTTTATTTGAAAACATTAAGATTTAAAATTCTGCATTAAGAAATGCCAAGGGGATATGGCGGGTATATCGTATGTGAGAGGATGTGTGTGAGGGTGTGCATTTATTTATTCGTTTATTTATCCGTTCATTTGTTCTCTTGAGCAATTAATTTGGTTTACCCTTAAAATATCTTTTGTATTTTGTAAACTTTATATGACCTTAGAGATGATACTGTGCTCTGACCCAGATGGTGCTTACAAATGAGTGGGGGGGGGAGAATCTGTCATTTAGCCCACTACAGGGGGTCAAAGCAGGAAGAGCACATCAGTTTCTATGGACTTGCCTTTTTCTGTTTGCATTACACTTTTGGCACAGTCAGGATTCCCTTGCGTTAATTGCTGTAGTACAGTGAAATAGACGGTCTCTGGCAAAAGATGACACTTACGAAATGGACTGCCATCTTGCATAGGGATACATTAAGCAGAAGGTACAGTTTCTAAAGAAACAGCTGAACAAGGCAAGTGTTGAAACACACAACAAAGGCAGTTTTCCTTTTACAGCAAAAGAAAGAACATTTGTGATGGAAACATTTTTCTTTATCCGTATATTTCCTCTACAAAATCCTTACAAATGCCACTCCAGCTGGGAAAGGTCTACTACAGCAACTCATTTCCCAAAGTTTTTTGCAACATGAGATGACTTCTGTTGCCTTCCCCCATGCTGGCAAGTAGTATTTTTTATCCCTTTCTCTCCCCAAGTCCCAATGCATTTAAAGTTGTGAATATTTGTTCCCAGTGCCATCGTGTTAACAAAGTGCCTCATGCTCCCAATCCACATGTTTCCTGCAAGACCTACTATCCCTGGGAAGCAGTTGCAGCTTTATGCTGTTCGTTTCTTGGGAATGTCTGATCATTCTTGAAACACAACATACAGAAGCAGAGAAGAATGGTACTTAGTAGACAATGTGCATGTAATTAAGCTAGCAAGAGATAATTTCCAAGTGCATTTGTTACGATACGTGGTAGGTGCAGTGAATGGAAGGGCTGTTAGCGAACCGATTGCTTGAATATGTCTGAAGTGTCATTACAATAAGGGGACACCATACAAAAAAAAATGGGCTAGCTATAACTTTGGGAAACTGTTGTTTTGTTGTGTTTTAATGTTATATGATATTGCTAATGATCAAATAAATGTTGACAATAAATCCAAATAGGGTACTGTGTGGTTGAAATGGTTCGTTCTTAGGCTGTCTTTGTAGAGAAAGCAATGTTCTTTCATGCAGCAATGATATTTTTGTTTTTTTGTTTTAATTAGATCTTTGCTCAAAGTACAGTGAAGTGCCTTAGAAGGAAATCCATACTTCTTACTGGTTACTTGGAGTATTTGATAAGGCACTATTACGGCAAAGATAGAAATGACCCTGAGAAGCCACTTATAAAAATAATCACACCATCCCACCATGAAAAAAGAGGATGCCAGCTCACCTTACTTTTCTCTGTTCCAATCAGAGATGTTTTTAAAGAGCTGGAAAAACGCGGCGTCGCTGTAAGTAGCCTAGGTTTATGTTGGAAACTTCAAAAATGCTTTTATTTTGTGGAAGTGGCCATCTTAATTTTAGAATAGCATTGTCGTTATAATAGGCAGGGTAGAATAATCAAAACAAAATAAAGTTTAAAGTAGCATTTCACAATTCATAAATATTGAGAGTTGACCTTGTGGTTTCAGGGAGCAGAAAGTAGAATATGTGAGATGCATTTGCTGGGTCATTGCAGTGGAAGAATCACTTGAGAGTTTTCAATAAGTCATAAAATTACGACCAAGGTTGAGCTACACGTCCCTGTAATAAATATGCAACAATTTGGGGAAAATTGGAACTGGGTAATGTAAAGTTTTGGGTGGTTATACACAGTGCTTTTTTTGTTAAAAAAAAAAAATGTGCTGAAACTCACACACGTCATACAACCCGCCTTGCCTACCCTACAAGGTTCTATCCAAAAAAGGTGCCGGAACTCCGTTCTTGGCGTTCTATGACAAAAAATGCCCTGGATATTCAATAGCATTAAATAGTATAAAGCAGGAGCCAGCAATTCTGGGAGTTGAAGTCCACAGGTCTTCAAAGTTGCCAACATTGGACACTCCTGGTCTAAAGGTTGGTTGGTTGGTTGATTTCCTTCCTTCCTTAAAAGTAATTACTTTTTTTTTAACCATATCAGACAATTCTTTCAAAATATTATCCAAAGAAAATGTCCCCTGAAAATTATGCTGTGTAATTTAATAATGCAGCTTTTATGAACCTTGTGTGAAAGGAAAATTGTGCTCTGGTGGATTCTGGTTCCTTCCACTAGCAGAAAGACAACTCTGGTTCTATCTAATACATTGGAATTATGAGACTTATTAGATTATTATGTTTCCAGTTTTGTGATTAATGGAAAAGATGAGCGGTTCACTGGGATTATCATTTCACCCAAGAACAAAGTAATGATTGGAAAGACACATTAAAAATAAGGGTGTTTTTTTTTTTTTTTTTTTTTTTTTGAAGTTGAAGTCCTAGTGCCAATCATGTAATGGTCTTGAAAAACAACATGGAAATTATTTGTCACTGTGTTCTTCCAGATGATAAGGCAAAAGATTTGTAGGACAGTATGGTGACTGATTAGTATTCTAAAAGAAGCACACAAATGTTACACATGCGATTTTTTTGTGTTTTCACTTTGACAAACCAACACAAAGGCGTTAAATTTATGGAATATTTATCTGGGTGTTTTGCAGTGCGACATGCGGGAACCTGACGCTCTCCGTGTTGCCCCAGTTCCTCTCTACAATACTTTCCAGGATGTGCACACCTTTGTGGAAATCCTAGAATCTGCAGTTGCAGCTGCAAAGCAGACTGCAAACTCGAAGTCGCTTTCCTGATCTTATTGACAACATAAATGTATCTTTGTCCTCTTCTCCTGGCCAAATGCATCGGAGATTTCGAACATCTTTTGGGGGGCGTGGGTGGAATTTCTTCCAGATTGGGCCTTATTCTACTGCTTTACTTCCAATGATTAATTCACTTTCAATATTGGATTGTAATATGCTTTCTATTAAAACTCATGCTTTCACCCACTGGAAGTTTTGTGTGACATCATTATGCAGAATAGGACTTTTGATTGTTCCTGTTTAATGTGATATCTTTCTGTGTAAACGCAGTCCATGTTAAGTGGCAAGCAGCCACCTTTCTCCCTGAGTTGCCTGGGAGGGGCTTTTGCCTGCACATAAAGAGTAAAAACTTCTTGACAACTTTGTGCTGTCACCATGAATGGCTAGCAATTCACTGACTTCATATTGTTACCTTAAGTACACGAGGGGCCATAACTCTTGTTCAGGTATCGAGATCTGTTCTTAAAGGTGTTGTCCAAATATTGATACCTTTTAGGTATGATGTATTTTACATTTGATTTGTGATTTAGATTGAATAAAATATTGTCAGAGTATATTAATATCTTAAACATTTCATATTCTTCAGCTTATATATATAAATGAAGTATGTAAGAGTTCATGAAGGATTTGTAGACTCATAAAATGTATAAGTTGGAAGGGTCTTGTGGTAGAATCACTAGCCAAAGGAAAAGGGGAGAATGAAAAGGCATTCCAGCATGGAATCACTCAGTGGGAGGAAATGAAAGAGGCCGGACTATTGATGTCTTTATCTACCATTTCCCAAGGAAATGCAGTCAGTCTGGTGAGATTCTTGTAAATGGGTGATCAACAATAAAGAAATTGCTTTGGCCTACAGATTGTTCTGATTCCTTGTGTCTGACAAATCTGTGGGTTCTTTCAGTGTAGGAATCCACCAATGGTATTTAGTCCCCAATTGAAAACCTCCAAAGAGGAGGGTCAACCATTGTTTTGGAGACATTGTTTCACTGCTTAAAAGCTCCTTCATCAAAACATTCTTCTTAATATTAAGATTGGTTATTCTTTCTTTTAAATTCAACTCACTGGTCCTTGCCTATACAAACTTTTCATTGAATTGTTCTGCATGTTTCTGATCATGCATGTGGCATTATTAATGGATAGAGTTTCTAGAGCAGTTTTCTAGGCCTGATGGGCACTGATATTTGAGAGACTTAATGCATGCTTCAGCATATGCTGGGCTAATGGTTTCCACTTCCTCATTTCACCTGGAAGCTGTTCTGTGCTTTATCTTCTGTTAGGACCTATATTAGAAACTGCTTTCCCCAGCTTGACAAAGATTGAGAGTTGAATATCAGATTATGCTAGTTTTTGCCCAATGACACTATCCTATCTCATCATGCTGTTGAATATTAGCTAGTGAAACTAGTGTTTTATGTGTGTGTGTGTGTGTGTGTGTTTTCTGAGGTTTTCGCGGGTGTTTGTATGTAGGTCTTTGGTTATTCGGGTTTTCTCCCACGTAAAATTGGAAGTGTCTTGGCGACGTTTAGACGAAGTCTCATTCGTCATCTTCAGGCCATCTCTATGGCTTCTCTGATTATTTTATATTGCTATTTTATAGCAATGCAGTTCACCATTTTAAACCCCCCTGCAACTCAGACTAACCTGAGCACAACAAAGCCCCCACCCAAACAGAACACTCCCCCAGCCAATCAGAGCACAGCCAAGCTCCTAACCAATCAGAACACATCTCCATCCAATCAGAACACAGCCAAGCTCTCATCCAATCAGTTCATACCCCCACTGGTAGTTAAAAGGAGGAAATAGCTACAATCACAGCTACAATTGTTCCTAGAAGCAAGAAGCTGAAAGCACCAGCCTGAAGATGACGAATGAGACTTCGTCGAAACGTCGCCAAGACACTTCCAATTTTACGTGGGAGAAAACCCGAATAACCAAAGACCTACATACAAACACCCGTGAAAACCTCAGAATGAATATATATATATATATATATATATATATATATAGAGAGAGAGAGAGAGAGAGAGAGAGAGAGAGAGAGAGAGAGAGAGAGAGAGAGAGAGAGAGAGAGAGAGGTGGGGGGGTGGGGTAGAATAGTTGATCTCAGATTCTAAATCAAAAGCATTTTTCATAGCGGGGCATAAAGAAGTGTAACTGAGTTCTTGGGAATGCAAAGCACCATTGAACAATGATTAACACAAACACGAAATGTTCTTTTAGTTTTATACTTTACTGACTTGTTTAGCTGTTGCTAACTTTGAGACAAAATAGTATCCTATTTCAATTAATTTCCTTGATATTGTAATATTAGTAATGGGCTATTTGGGGTAGTTTTCTATCAGGGTAGCAATTATGATTTTATTCTTAACTTTTTTACAGAATGAATCTTACGATAATACTCAAACTTAACATTAGGTGTCAGCATTTTACATATTATTTCATGAGAACCAAAGTACCCGAAAGCTGTAGCAAAATGATGGAAGTTTCAAACTTTCATTTCTATAGCTGTCAATTAACATCTCTGAAATAAAAATAAAACACACCATGTTTCTCGAGTGCTTAGCTCTTTACATACGAAACACAATGTAACATCAACATGTTAAATAAAGAACCATATTGTACTTGATTTTGTAATGTTTTGGAAGGATTTTTTTTGGCTAACACAACACATGAAGAGCAAAAAGGAGAAAAGCAATAGAAAGATATGGAAAGGAAGCCCACTGTGCATTCCAGAAATGGAGAAAGAAGAAAAGAATGATTGATGACCAGGATGCATTGCTTGGCCTCATCCATTCTATCCAAGCCTTCTTTGAGTTGAGGCTCTGTTTTCATTCCAATCTACATTCATCACAGGTTTGGGAAACATTCGCAGCTAGAGGTGTGGGTCATGCAGATAGTTGTGGAAGTATTTGGGTTTACACAGTTACAATCTACATCCCGTGTCCTTTCTTGCAAGCCCCCATTTCAGAGCTCAGTATTTTTGCATGGAAAGGAAAATTGATGATGATGAAGTTGGAAGGGAGCTTGGAGGTCTTCTAGTCCAACCCCCTGCTCAGGCAGGAAACCCATGCTGGCTCAGGAATTCTGGGAGTTGAAGTCCACAAGTCATAGAAGAGCCAAGGTTGCCTACCCCTGGACTAGGGGATTCTCATCCCAAATGGCCTATACCATTTCAATCGATGTCATGATCATCTTATCCTTCTGCCTGGAGGCTGTGAGGATCTGGATGGGGACAACAGGCTTCAGCTGAACTCTGGCAAGAGTTTGGTTTTGGGGGCCCTCTGATTCAAGGACTATGTCATTTTTGGTGTTGAATGAGGTAGCATTGCCTTAGACAGATTCGGTGTGCCACTGGGAGGTTTTCCTAGAATCATGACTCCTGCTCAATGAGCAAGTGGCAGTTGTGACCAGGGAAGTCTTTGCAGACTTTGTATGCCAGCTATTCCTGGATCAGCAGGCCTTGCTTATGGTCATTCATGCCCTAGTCACTTTCAGATCACGCTGCTGCAATGTGCTATACATGGGTTGCCCTTGAAAAGTATCTGGAAACTTCAACTGGTATAGAATGCAGCAGTGCACGCAGTTATGTGTGGTCCTAAAACAGCATATTACACCTCTGCTCCACCAGCTGCATTGTTGGCCATTTCAGTGTGGCAAAGGGACCACTAAAATTTTAAACCATTCTTTATTACATTCCCTATTTTATGCTGATACCTACTTAGAGCTTATAACCCATATTTAATATTTCCAGTCATTCAAAGCAGATCATTTGCAACTTTATTTTTACCTACATTTGATTTTGTTACTTTAAGTATAGTCTGCTGTGTTATATGTAAAACACATAGCCCACTAATTGATAAGTCTAATTAGATTTATGATGAATAGTTTCCTTTTTTTATAATATATTTTATTGATTTTTTAACATAGTCACCTTAATATTTGGTAAACTCTGTTGTCTGGGTTTACATTTAAAAAACATTCACTGACAGTTTCTATGATCTATAATCCACATAATAGCGTTATTTGATTTTCTCTTTTTCCCATAATGTTCTCTTTTGCCAACCTTAAGTTAATAAGATGTTGTTGTTTTGGTAGATAACAATTGGATATAAAAATTTTTCTAATATTTCTACAGATAATAATCACATCAATATAATATTTTTTTCTATCTAATCATTCTGGTTGCCTCATCATAGATCCTGTTTACAGTTCTTGTTTACATTTATTTTTCCCACAATGTTCAAGACATTCTTACTGGTTAAGATTTTCTCAAAGTTAATTACATTTAAATATTTAAGTCTATTTTCCTCATGTAAGCCATTTCAATACTTTTACCTTTCTTAAGGAATAAATAAGACTAAAAAAAGAAAAAAAGAATAAGAGTAAAGAAAAATAAAAAGACAGTATGCTACTTAAAATACATGTTCCTCCTTAGCTAATACATATTTATTTCCAAAATTTTTCCATTTTTTTAACCATAATTAAAAATATGTTTATTTATGATAAATACATTTCTACATGTATGCAATATGTTTATGGTATCAAATTTTACTGTGTCTTGATCATTGACCATAATAAAGATTATGTCTATTACTGTCAAAGTGAATCTTGAAGTACAGTCTATTTAGTAAATAGCTTGATGTAGAGTCCTTTCCAGCTTTTGAAAAATTATTTAGAACATAGAATAACAGTTGGAAGGGACCTTGGAGGTCTTTAGTCCACCCCCTGCTCGAGCAGGTGATTTTCTACCACTCTGGTCAAATAATTGTTCAATTTTTTTCATAAAAACGTGGAGCACCCACAATTTCTGGAGGCAAACTGTTCCACTGATTAATTGTTCTCATTGTCAGGAAATTATGGAATGGAATGAAATGGAATGGAATGGAATAGAATAGAATAGAATAGAATAGAATAGAATAGAATAGAATAGAATAGAATAGAATAGAATAGAATTTCTATACCTGTGCTTTTGATTTTGTTTTCTTGCCTAAGTGTAAGACGTTACTTTTCTCATCACTGAATTGCATTTTGTTGGATAGGGCCCAGTGTTTATATCTGTCAAGGTCTTTCTGAATCTTGAGTCTATCATCTAAAGCAGGGGTCTTCAAACTTGGCCTTTTTATGACTTGTGGACTTCAACTCCCCGAATTCCTCAGCCAGAATGCCTGGCTGAGGGATTCTGGTAG